GGGAGAGGACTCAAACAAGGGAGGTCAAGGGAACAGCCACACGGAACTCCTCCCGCATATGTCAAGGATCAAGGAGTGGGCGCGAGAAGATAAGCCTCCGCGGCATAATTTGACTCTGGACTCCCGTTAATTTCGCACCCTGCAAAGTGTGTAAAATTTGATGTTGATCGTTGCATACATATTTTACTGTTGTTTTTGGCGTGTAGTAGGCTTGAACATGAAGTTGGATGAAATCCACAAAGAAATCCCTACAAAACAAATTCGTGTGTTTACCAAACGTGTTGATTACCGTGGAACTTAAGTAGCAGCCACCAGGGGAACAGATGTTTACCTACGGGCACGTGTTTACGTCCTAGATTACATTGCACATCTGTTAATATCTGTGCAACGGGGTTGCTATAGAATTCGAATCAGATTGGGCCGCTATTTGATCAGCAAACACAGATTGGACATTGGTATGGAATTTTTTGCTGCCAGTCGATTTCCAGTTTAGTACTCGTAGGAGAGCCGGTCAGTCTGGTGAATACGTGTGGGGAGCAATGGCACGCCATGTCGATAACTTTGACTATGCAGTCTTGCTCCTATTGCTCGTCATACCTCTGCTGTGCCTCACGGTGACCTTTGTGCTTGGACAGATATTTGACGCGGTCATGCGGCCGTGGGAGGAGTACATGGCAGAGAGGGACAGCGGCGATAAGGAGGAGGGAGACGACGCCAGCACTGAGGAGTCGCTACACCAGCCACACTCAGCACTGCACAATGGCAACTCGCCAAAGTACGTGTGCCTGTGTTGCGTGTGTTGGGAGGTGGAGGGTGTGTGTGTGTTAGGATGCGGTGTGTGTGTGTGTGGGGGGGGGGTGATTGAGGGTAGGGATGTGTCTCTGTGTGCGTGCGTGCGTGCGTCTGTGTCTGTGTGTTGTGCGTGCGTGCATGCTTGGGCATGTGAGTGCGCGCGCGTGTCCTTTCTCCCTTTTTCTCTTGATGGCTCTCTATCACTTCTGTCTCTCTCTACTGCTCTCTTCCTGCCCTCTGTGAGTATGTTACTGTATGTGTTTGTGTGTGTGCATGCATGTGTGCGTGAATGCATGTGTGTTTGCGTGTGTGTGGAGGTGTATGTGGTTGCCTGCTTGTGTGCAATTTTGTTCAAATGTTACGTAAGTCTTCCCAAGTTATTAAATGTGGCTGTTGTAGAACAGAATAGAAGGCGAATTCGAGGTCAATGCTATGCCCCGTTTCATTACACTCATAGCTGTGTCTCCATGATCACAGTGCAAGCACTTGTCCAATAGTTCCTAATTAATTATTTACTATATTCCACATATTACGTTGGACCCTTGGCGACTGAGTTTGCGCGCTGCACTAAATGACAAAGTCCAGAATTCCATTGGCTAGCTTTAGATTCTTATTTTATTCGCTATCCAATACAAAACCTGCCTTGGTCAGACCTTGATTTCCGATGTATAAATCTGGAACTTATGCACACACATGTGTTAACTACACTTTACTGCGCATTAATAGTTACAAAGCTATTCCAGAGTGACCCGACTTCTCTACGTTAATATCTATGCATCATTAGGGTCGTCAATATAGTACTTAAATAAGCTGAAATTTGTATGATTTTGCTAATATCTATTAACCTGATTATACACGTAACAGGATGGATTGTAGCCACATCATGGGGCACTCATCTCTGTTGAGTCAGTGTCACTAGTTCACAGTTTCCCTGGTTGTTGTTTGTAGCTATGGTGAAGCAGATGTGTTGGAACCCAGAGTGGACACAGAGCTGGAAGATGAACACATTGATGCTCTCATCATGTCACCAGGTGGCGCCTCTGTAGAGAGCTCCAACAGCTTCATACTGGAAACGCCTTACAAGTATTCAGGTAGCACGAATGAAGTACCTCATATAGGAGTTTTCAAAAATTTACATTCATATAGTATTTAGTATCAATGTCTTTATTTATCTCATTCTCTGTCCCATAAGCCATACTATTTAACAACGATTAAGTGAAAAAAGTGAAAGAGCCCACTGTTAGAACATACTTGAGTGGATGCATCTCGGACACTTTCTAACATGTTGTGTTTTATCAACCTGTAGAAATCTGGACGTTTGAATAGGTCTGGATGTGTGTTTAATCGGGGCTGCGATCTCTGTAATAAGTAGCTCACGAATGAGATTATTTAATCGATAATATTATTGCTTGACACTGACTGAATGCCTTGTTGTTGTTTGTGTGCAGGAGACAGTTCTAGTAACGTAGAGAGACCTCCTCCTGTGCCAGAGACACCGCCTCCTCCTCTGGATGATGAGATGATGGAGCTAATGACAAAGGAAGAGGCTGGCTTTCTTCTTAGTCTCAAGTATGTTACTTTGCTTCTGCTTGTGTTTTGGAGCTTATTTTATTAAGCGTACTCAGTGATTTTATTTAAATGATAGTAATGATGCTGCTTTCATCGTTATTCTAATGATGTGATAAAAATAATGAAATAAATTTCCATTTTAAACTGTAAGGTAGGCCTATTTGTTATAGATGATCCCATTGTTGTATGCGCTGCCTCTGGTGGTGGTGACAAATGTATTGGAATTTCATTTAGACCAGGAGCTTATGACAAAAGTGAAATGACGTTGATGCCCCACTAATATTTACTTGTAAAGTTTTCTATATTGCATAAATATACAATAATCCAAGTGAAACCAATTGTAAAATATGACATATTGCAATCTTTTATTATTTAAATGCTTGAAAAGTATAAAATAAGCACCCAAGGTCAACCGTCAGAAAATCAAATTCAATAGCTCATCCTAAAGAATCGCCATGGGAGGCGACATAAGTAATGTTGTCACCAATAAAAATTAATTTAACATCGATCGCCATGCTATAGAATTAAAAATAAAATTAGATAGAAATTAATCATATTAAATATAAATTAGAATTAAATAGTATTTAATAACGCGTGATTGCTTGCTTAGACGGCAGTCGTTCGGTGTCTCACTGCGTTTCTGTGTTGGCAGCACGCGGCAGGAGGTGGTCGGCACACCCGTCATCGGCGGCGACGACACGGCGGTGGGGCGCGGCGATGGCGGCGACGGCGACGAATCACACGACTACGATGAGGTGCCCGACGGCGAGGAGGATACCACCGGCGACAGTGCTGATTATGCGGCGCCACCTGGTGATGCAAAGCTGTCGCGCAACGGAGCCGACATGTAAGCGGGCGCAGAGATATGGCTTACAGTGTGCATGCATCTCTGTTTGTTGTGATTCCGTAGAAGGAAGGCGTTCGGATTTTGTCTCTTTGTTTTTGTTCCCAGCATGAGACGCATCTGGTTAGGTCTCACAATCCAGGCAGTTTTCTGGGGTTAGGGGGGTAAATGAAGTTGGTGTTAGGTCTCTTTGTTTGTTTCTATTTGGTGAGAAGAGAGTTTGTTTCTATTTGGAACGTAAGGGGTTGGGGTTAGGTGACAAGGTTGGGTGTCCTTAGGTTAGTTGAAGAAATGTGTTAGGTGTCATTTATTCCTTCGGCTGCCTTTTTAGATTAACCGTGTTCCTAAAGCGTATAAAATCGATATATAAAAGTTTAACATAATTACTTCTGTATTCTGTGCAGGCGCGTTTAATGATTATGTTTCTGTGTATGTTTGTGTGCGCGTATGCATCCGTGCACTTATGTACATGCATGTGTGTGTGCACGTGTATCGGCCCATGTGGTTATATTTCGTATTCAGGGATGTGATGTATTGCTCTAGGTTCTACATGGAGATCCCTGGTTTGGCATCAGAGCCAGATGGAGATGACGACATCGAACACAAACATCCATCCCGCATCACGTTCTGTACAAATCCCATCAAGGTACTCTTCTGAATGCTGGCAGAGACTGGCAAAAGGGATGCTAACACCGAGACCTTAATCTAAAAGTTAATATAACGCTCCTAAAAAAAATTAGTCAGGCGGGCTCATTCTGGTTGCATACGTTCTGAGTGGCGCCCATCTATGCTGCTGCTTAGAGAGTCCTTGTAGCTGGTCAGATATATTGCTGACAACGTCTGTGCAGTTAATATACAGTTAGGTTTTACTGAAAATGTTGACAAGGTTGCTCTGTTCTCATTAGTGTGAATAACACAAATGTACCCTAAAAACGGGGGGTGACTCAATATCTAGCGTTTTCTTCATACAGTGATAATACAATCAACGTTGCAAGCGATAATGAATCGATCATCGATTGGCTGATTGTTCTGTATCGACTGCTCTTTTGTTTGTTTGCGCCGACCGCAGGTGTTCAGCACGTGGTCGGTCGGTGACTACGACCGCCGCAACGACGACGTCGATCCCGTCGCGGCGTCCGCCGAGTACGAGCTCGAGAAACGCGTCGAGAAGATGGACGTGTTCCCGGTCGACCTCGTTAAAGGTCAGCGCCGCCGCCGTCGTCTGCCCGACGCTTTCTCTCTCTCGCTAGGTTTCTGTCAGCTGTGTAACCAGAGTACAGTTCTGTTGCTGCATATTGCTGCTGGGTTTACAGGTGGGAGGGTACGGGAACGGCTGCATATTGCTGCTGGGTTTACAGGTGGGAGGGTACGGGGAACGCTGCAGATTACTGCTGGGTTTTACAAGGTGGGAGGTACGGGAAACGGCTGCCATATTGCTGCTGGTTTACAGTGGGAGGGTGAACCGGGAAACGTGCAGATACTGCACGGGGTTTAACTAGGTGGGCGAGGTAACGGAGAAGCGGCCCTGCATATGTGCTGCTCCGTTGTTAGGGCAGGTACGTGAGGGTACGCGAACGGGGCCCGGCACACCGCTAGCTAGGTTTCAGGTGGGAGGGTAGCGGACGGCTGCCAGAGTAGTGCTGGGTTTTACAAGGTGAGAGGGTAACGGGAACGCCTGCCAGGAGTACTGCAGGGTTACAGGTGAGAGGGTACGGGAACGGCATGGCAGAATACTCTGGGGTTTACAGTGGGGGGAGGTCTCGGGAAGGCTGGCAAGAGCTACTGCCTGGGAGTTTACAGGTGAGAGGGTACGGGAACGGCTGCATATTGCTGCTGGGTTTACAGGTCGGAGGGTAAATGAACTGGAATAGGGAGGACTTCAATGTCGTTGAGTTTTTGCAGATAGGAAGGAGTTTACGTCATGTTGTTGAGTTTTGCAGATAAGAAAGACTTCACCATGAATGTCATTGAGTTTCGCAGTAGTTCAGGCACTAGGTTCGAGTGCCATTGATTTTGGCTGTGTGCGTAGGCTTTCATGTGAATGTCGTTGGGCCTTGCAGGTGCGGAGGGACTAGGATTGAGCATCATCGGCATGGGTGTCGGAGCGGACGCCGGCATCGAGAAGCTGGGTATCTTTGTGAAGACCATCACGCCTGCCGGCGCCGCAGCGAAGGACGGCAGGTACGCTCGTGGTCTCTGCGCTCACACATGCTCTCAGCTGGTGTTGTTGCACTCGCGTTTGTTAATGCGATGCTGTCGCGGTGTCACTTATTAGCCAGGGCAGCAATATGTTGTAGCTGCATTGGTATTACTAGACTGCTTAGTGTGAACACCACCACACACAGCTAATGAGGGCCAGGGGAAGCACATCATGGTTATGCATTCTGTCTGTAAAACAGACATTTCTATAATCATCTATGGCGAACCGCACGTTATATGGTTATCTAACCACTAGCAAGCAAGCCATCTGCTGCACCTTTTACATTGTCACTAGTTCGATAATTTACCATCGATCTGTTAAGGTATTTCGTAGTCAGTCCATTTGATAGGTCAAAGTTGAGCTGTTTAATAATTCACCATCACTCCATTTGAACCATAGATCCATTTGATAATTTACCATCAACTTATTTGATAACACACCATCAATCCATTTGAGAATTTAATATCAATTTATCTGATTACACACTGAATCCATTTGGAAATTTACCATTAATTCATGTTATAAAACACCATGATTCCATTTGAAAATTCACAATCAATTCATTCGATAACACACCATTGATCCATTCGAAACTTTGATATCAATTCATCTGATAATACACCCTAAATGTATTTGCATATTTACCATCAATCTATTAGATAATTTGCAGTTGATCCATTCGTTAATTTACTGTCAATCTGTATCTAATTCATCGTCACAAATGTTCTGTCGTGCAACAATACGATAGCTGACTGACACGTTAACGTCGTTATTCAGGATTGAGGTGAATGATCAGATCGTCGAGGTGGACGGGAAGAGCCTGGTAGGCGTGTCACAGGCCTACGCTGCCTCCGTGCTGAGAAACACCTCCGGACTTGTCAGGTAAGCACAGCGTATTGAGGCTGGTGGGCCTGTCGCTGGTGGACGACATTGTTTAATTTTAAAATGGATTTATGTATAAATAAATACATAATTAAATTAATTTATCTATTTATCAGTCTGTGTGCCTGCCTGTCTGTTTGTCTGTCTGTCTGTCTGTCTGTCTGTCTGTCTATGTATATATATATAGTTTACATTTGCCCACAATCCATTCATCTCACCGTGAATAGCACAGTCCATACGGGATGATCAGCTGAGCTATCAGCAGCAGTGTGTCAACACACAGAGCTGTATTTTGCTCACAGGCATCTGCATTAAAGTGTTTGGGGGTTTGAGAGTCACCAGTCTCAAATTTGAGAATTGCGCTCACGGCTGCTGTGCTGCTGCTGCTGCAGGTTCATGATCGGGAGAGAGCGTGACCAGGCGAACAGTGAGATTGCTCGGCTCATCAGTCAGTCGATCCTGCAGGACAAGGAGAGGGATGACAGGAGGAAGAAGCAAGAGGAGGAGCGTAAGAAGATACAGGAGTATCTCGATTCGTGTGTGCAGGTGAAGGATGCCAGCGAAAGTACGGCGCAAAGCGAGGAGAAGGAGAGAGAGGTGAGCCGGTTTCCCTTTTCACGAGCTGTTATATATATATATATATATACAGAGTTAACACCAATTAATTACATGTGCAATATGTAAGTGGTGGTCACATAGCACCTGATCAATGAGATGACGATGTCGTTATTTACGTAACATGGTGTTGTTGTCACGTTAGCATGGCGAAAATGCGCATCAAATTCATGATCATTGTCGCAGTAACATGTGTGTCATTGCTTATTCATCACAATATCACAGCTTTGTTAATATGCCACTGTGTAATTGATATCATTTTACCATTTAATAAGCATATTGCGATCGCTCTATCAACATAATATCAGGAGTTGATAATCTCAAAGAGATCATTTACTCATGATAGTATTTATATATATACTACCGTAAGTAACTCTAACTCTTTGCAATTTCGTCAATTTCTGCTGACGTCTTTATTTTAAACTATGCGTCGGTGCAGTCGATTATCTAGTCGCCGTCGTTAACGAGGCGATACGGTTAGCGCGATGCTACGGTTTCGTAAGCGAACGTTGCTGTTGCGTGCAGTCGCCGGACTGTAGGTCGACGACTCCCCCGATGGACGACATCGCGTGGGAAGGTGAGGATGAGAATGTCGCGTACCCGCTCGACGATCACTCGCCGCTGTCCGACGACTCACCGCACCGGCCGCAGTGCGAGGTGTTCGACCTGCCGGACGACCTGAGCAGCGACTCGCTCAGCCCCGAGATGGACGTGCAGGCCCTCATGATACGCCTGAAGGAGGTAAGTGCTCGCGCGTGAGTGCGTGCGTGCGCGTGTGCGTGCGCGTGTGCGTGCGCGTGTGCGTGCGTGCGTGCGCGTGTGCACGTCCATGCGCGTGTGCGCGTCCATGTGCGTTTGCATGTTCGTGTGTGTGTGTGTGCGTGCGCGTGCGTGCGTGCGTGCGCGTGCGTACGTGCGTGGGTGCGGCCATGTCCATGTGTATGTGTGTGTTGTATGTACATGTGCGCATACTGTATACCACGATATTGCATGATATTGCTATCGATTAAACTTTCTAGAGGAAAGCAAAGAAGCCTCACAGTTGGGAGCTAGACAAGATTGCTTGTACGATGAGCAGTACTATCGTATAATGAACCAGATTTGCTCATGAGGTTTGATAGCTAGGTGAAGCATCCGTTGACAGAAGTTATTATAACATGGCGATTATGATTATGATTATGATTATATGGAGATGTGGCCTGCCACTCTCTCTGCTGGAGAAGCTGGCAGGACAGGACATAGGGTGACGCGTGGCCTGACGTGACTAGTTTAGCAGTGCTGGCTGGAACACACACGTGTCAGTCTTGGTTGTGCGTGTCCGGCATCACATGTGATCCTTCATAGTGCAATGCCACACTAGCATAATTCTGTGAATTTGCATTCGAGCATTGTCAGTACATTAGCGTTGTTTAATACGACAGGATAGTAAACAACAAATGTGGCAGCAGTCATTACCATTAATTCTTTTCACTGATTGATCGTTTTCCTCTTAGAATGATGAATACGTGCTATTACACTGTATTTATTAAATTGGTATTTTTTATTGTCAATTGATCGAAAATCTGACCATTTGCTAAAGATTTGTTAAAATGAGGCATGATGATATTTTTAAATGTAGTGGAAATATTTAATGGAGTGGAAAGGGACTGCCTGAGACTGAATGCAGATGCATTAAAACGCCATCTGCGACTGCTTTGCATTGAAAAACATGTATGTGCAGTAAAATTATGGGCCAACCTTGGAAATCATTGATTTTATTGCTTCAATTTCGCTTGGGTTTTGGGGAAAATGGCAATCTTGCGACAGCTTGTGAAATGAATAAACGTTAGAAGTGTGTACAGTAGAAGAGAAAGATATAAGCCAGGAGGGACTGTGCATCTAGTAGTACCAGCAGATTACCGAATGTGTTAATACAGTACACAATCTATTATCCGAAATTCTGAAAAACGAAAAGCTCTGAAAACCGAAAGCTTTTTCGTGGAGGTCGTCTGCACACCAAAGCTCGCGTTTGGCGCCAAAACTTGACCCGACGAATATTAATGTGTTTGGCATTACTCATACATATTGTACTGTACCGGTACAGCACTTGGCCTCTTGAAAACTTGGGTTTTAAAATTTAGTACTGGCTAGTTGCAGGATATAGGGTATGTATATCTGTACTGTACTACCATTCCGAAATCCGAAAAATTCCGAAACGTGTCTGGTCCCAAGGGTTTCGGATTATAGAGTGTGTACTGTACCTGATCAGATGTCAGCTAATCACTTCAGTAACACTATGTAGCCTACATTCTACATGTAGTCAATACCTGCAGTAAGATTGTCGATCTTTACTTCCAGGCTCAGTACAAGAATGCCGTAGCAGAAGCTGAACTCGCCAAAGTCAAGGCTAAGGTATGCATGTGCTATTATTTATTTACACTCGTTTTCCCCGCCCGCTTTTGAGCTGGCCGCCCAGCATCGGGTATTTGTCGCACAAACACTTGTGTAGCCTGAGCAGCGAGGAGAAGGATGGCGTGTGAACGTATGTGTGATCCTGGGGACCGCTGTGTGCGTTCAACGTTCCGATTTCGGTTTGTGCGCCGTTCGCTGCAGCTGAACAGAAGTGGTGCAGTCATAGAGCTGAGGCGACTCACCAAGTGTGCGTTTGACTCGCCAACTGAAGTGAGTGAATTGATTGATGTGGTAGAGGTATAGCAGGGATGGAGTGCGATATCGGTAGGTGTGAGTGTCCCACAAATTTATACAAGATCGCGTGTTCGGTGAGAGGTACGATATACAGGTGTTTAATGAGGTACAGTATACAATTGTTCAGTGAGGTACATTATACAGGTATTCAGTGAGGTACATTATACAGGTATTCAGTGAGGTACAGTATACAGGTATTCAGTGAGGTACATTATACAGGTATTCAGTGAGAGGTACAGTATACAGGTATTCAGTGAGAGGTACAGTATACAGGTATCAGTGAGTACAGCGGGTATGAGCAGGATGGTCAGTGGGTGCGAGGGAGAGTGAGTGGAGTGGAGAGGTGGCGGGAGGTGGGAGGTATTCAGGTGAAGGTGACAGATATACAGGCTAGCAGTGGAGTAGGTGGGTATACAGCGCTATTCGGGTGAGCGCTACAGTATAGCAGGTATTCAAGTGAGAGGTATACACTATACAGGTATTCAGTGAGGGCGGGGAGGACCCGGCGGCCGCGGGTACCCTATACGAGCCTGGAGGTTCAGCCCTGGAGGGCTACACTTATACAGTGTATTCAGTGAGGGTACATTATACAGGGTATTCAGTGAGGTACAGTAAGGTATCATGACGGTCAGTATCAGGTCAGAGAGGTAACCATTATACAGGTATTCCATGCAGTTGAGGTACATTATACAGGTAATTCAGTGAGAGCTCCATCATACAGGTATTCAGTGACGGTACAAGTATACAGGTATTCAGTGAGGCTACCATATACAGGTATTCATGCAGTGCAGTACATTATACAGGTATTCAGTAGCGGTAATACGTGTTCATGAGGTACAGTATACACGGGTATCAGTGAGCGGCTACAGTTACAGGTATTCTCAGGCAGAGGTACGTATGACAGTATTCAGTGAGGTAAAGTATACAGGTATTCTGGCGACGTTACATGGATTCGAGCGTACAGTATACAGGTAGTTCAGTGAGGCTCATCAGAGATACACAGGTATTCAGTGAGGAGGTACAGTATACAGGTAGTCAAGTGTGTACAGAATTACAAATTATTCAGGTGACGGCATTGGATAGCAGCGTATTCAGATGAGGTAAGAATACAAGGGTATTCAGTGTGAGGACATAGGCAGGAGTTTGGCTGGGTACACGTGAGCGCGTGTTCACTCAGAATCTATTCTTTCAGATGATACTGGATGGGATGGCACAGAGTGCAGAAGGAGAACCTGCGAAGAGCAGACAGACATGTAACTCAGCGTCTGCGCAGAGTCGGGAAGTGACTGCACTCGACGACACTCAGAAAGAGTAAGCTGCTACCACTCCATCCGACGCGCAGCGGTTATACTGCGTCATTAGATACGAAATTGCGCACGTTTACCGTAAGATCGTCACTGCGCCTAAATCAGTGATTGAATCTCGTTTTAGCGGATGAGTTGGTAGAAGTGGAAGCCGTTGCTGGCATTTAGGAGGGGGGGACTGCTGCCAGCTCATAACTAGGTGGTGCTTTTTGTGCGAAGCGTCTATATTGGTGAACACTACATTCCACGACCGCATCTATAAGCTCTGAACTTTACTCTACCTGCTCAGCTGATTCTGAGCTGCCTTACTGATGTCTGCACGGTGCTTCTCTACAGTGGCTAACTATCAGGACATGCTTGGAGAATCACAGCGGGCAGTACTTCTCCTGGAGAAAGAAGTACCTGAGGCCAAAAGGAAACTCATCAAAGAGCTTCCAACGACCGGTATTGGTCTGCGGTGTGCGTGTATACGTGTGTGTGGGTAAGTGGCCCAGGGCATGTCTGTGTGTGGTGTGTGTGTGGTGTGTGTGCGTGTGTGTGTGTGTGGTGCTAGGGTGTGTGTGTGTGTGTGTGTGTGTTGTGGTGCAGCTGTGTGTAGTGGTGGGTGTCGTGTGCGTTGCGTGTGGTGTGCGTGTGCGTGTGCGTGTGCGTGTCGTGTGCGTGTTGCGTGTGCGTGTGCATGTGTGACGTGTGCGTGCGTTGTGCTTGGGCGTGTGCGTGTGCGTGATGCGGTGGTGCGTGTGACGTGTGCGTGTGCGTGTTGCGTGTGCGTGGTGTTGCGGCAGTGCGTGCGTGCTGCGTAGCGCGTGTCTGCGTGTGTGCAGGCATGTGTGTCTGTGTGTGCTGCATGGTTGTTGAGTTACTAGTAGTTTTCCTAAAGTGAATCTGATTATGACCCAACTGCTAGGGTAAGATTTATGTTGCAGAAGTAACGTCTATGTGGTAAAACATGATTTCGTTGTCCATAACCATTTAAGTAAAACTGTTACTTACAATTGAATACCATTATAAGAAAGCTAACATTATTTTATCATCTTTCCTCTGATACCTTATAATTGTATGTGTGTGTGTGTGTGCGTGCGTGCGTGCGTGCGTGCGTGCGTGCGTCGCAGTGCTGCGGTGCCGTAGCTGCGTGTGATGTTGCATGTGATGGTGCTGCAGTTGCGTGTATATGAAGATACGTATGTTTGTTTATGACATTGCATGGTAAGTGGGAAGTTGAATTGGAGGTGCAAAACTGGTAATTTCAATACCTAGCACTAACAAAATACACGCTTTTGCGTATTGCCCTTAGAGATTTGCACGTATGTCTATTAACAGGGTCGTCTGGTGGGCACATAACAGTATGTTCTATAATATTTCTAACGGGCTACAGTATGCTGAGAAGCAGAAGAAAGCTTACCCTGCTGCCGCTGATCATGACGTGACTCTGTATGGGACGTTGCGTGCTTCATTCACAGGTCTTCCTCGTTTTTGTTGTGCAAGGGAGAATGAACTTTATTGCGACGTGATGAGTATCGATCACAGGTGGCCAAGAGAAAGAGCTGGAATTCAACATCCATAAGTGTAAGCACCTCAAAGCATCGGGCTATGTGTGATGCTGTCTTTGTCTCAGACTCTACATTACTCGTTCTGCAAAACTGCATCTCGGGCATTGCGCACAGACTGGCCAGTGGTACATCTTTGTTGGTATGCTGTCACCAAGAGGTGATACGTTGTAGAGTGTATCACATGTGAAAGAAGCCAACAGAATATGGTCTGGCGATAGTTCCACTGAGCTGGTGTTAGGGGTATTGCACTTTTCCTAAGTTAAATGGACACATCTTCACGCAGGTTGCTTGATAAAAGAGGCCTTGTTTCTTTACACTGTTGGTTTCAATTGAGTCGCCAGTAGCGATCATCACTACTAGGTTTTACTTTCAACCCCCATTTCCCATATGCTCAGTGTTAGAAATGGTTTTCGGCATTACCGTTAGGTGGTCAGCAATGCAACGAGCTCTGTCCATAAAATACAGTCCAACATTACAGAACAGAAATACTAGTCACTGAGCGATCCAGCTACAGCGTCGCCGTTTCTACCCGCAACAAAATACGTCAAGTCATGCATTCTCTGTGCACGGAGAGGTCGTGACCTTTGACCTTACCTGTGACAGGTCATCGAGCTCGAGCAGGATAGCTGCGCAGCTCCACCGCGAGGCGGGCTTCCCGGGTGGGCTGCCCGCCGTTTACGGCCAAGCCGCTGCAAGTCTGTTCAGCACGTGCCGTCACAGCGCCGACGTTGCCTTCAGCAGCCCGCGGGACAATCGAGACGCGTCGCCGATATGTCCGACTTGACATCTCGGACAGCAGCATGTGATCAGCCCAGGGTAGGTTCGCGCGCGCGTTGACATCTCAGACAGCGAGCATGTGAATCACCACGCGTAGTGCGCCGCGCGCGTTGACATCCTCAGACAGGCAGCACGTTGATCAAGCCCTAGCGTAGGTGCGCTGGCCGTGCGTTGACATCTCATACAGGAGCACTGTGATCAGCCAGGATAGGTGTGCGCCGACGCGGGGTGGAAGCATCTCGACAGCGGGAGCGACGGTGATCAGCCGCGGAGGTGTTGAGGGTGTGTGGGCTGGGGGGAGGAGTGCAGCGCCGTTGACATCTCAGAACAGCGAGCACGCTATCAGCCAGGGAGGGGTGCGGGTGCGGCGGGTGCGGTGGGGCGAGTGGTCAGACAGCAGCGACGTGATCAGGTGCGCAGCGGGGGGTGAGGTGTGTGGTGTGGGCGCTGGCCGGTTGACATCTAGACAGCGAGCATCGTGATCCAAGCCAGTAGCCGTGCGGCGGTTGACAGTCTCAGAGGCGGGCGAGCCACGGGGTGATTCAGCCAGGGTAGGTGTGCCGCGGCGTGACATTGCTCAGACATGCGGCACCGTTGATCAGCCCCAGGTAGGTGTGCGCGTGCGGCGCGTGGACATCTCAGAAGCGAGCAAATTGATCAGCGCCAGGTAGAGTGTGCACACGCGGCGTTGAATCTAGGCACAGCGGAGAACGATTGATCGCCAGGTTAGCGTGTGCGCACGCGTTGACATCTCAGACAGCGACACCGTGATCAAGCCCAGTAGGTGTGCGCCGCGTGAACATCTCAGACAGCGAAGCAGTGATCAGCCCAGGTAGGTGTAGCGCGCGCCGTGTTGCATCTCAGACAGCGAGCGCACGTGATCAGCCAGGTAGGGGTGTGCGCTCGCGCGCGATCCTCCCCAGCGCGCCCACGCACGCGCGAGCGTCTCGTCGCCCAATCGAGAATCGACTGCTGCGTTGAAATCTCCGCTTAACGGCGGTTTAGGCGTCGCCGGCGGCGCGTGTTAGGACGATACGGCGTGGCCACTGGACCGCGCGCGTGTTAGACCGTAGGCGTGGTCACGGGACGCTGCGCGTGCTTAGACGTAAGGCGGCTGCGCACGGACCGCGCGCGGCTGTTAGAGCCGTCAGGGTGGACACGGACGCGCGCGTGTTAGGAGGTTAGGCGTGGCACGGACGGCGCGCATGTGAGACGTAGGCGTTGGCCACGACCGGCGCCGTGTTAGAACGTAAGGCGTGGCGACGGTACCGCGCGCGTTTTGAGTGTAGACGCTAGGCGTGGCACGGACGCGCGAGGGTGTTTAAGACGTAGAGGTTGGCACGGACGCAGGCGCGTGTTTAGACGTGGAGGCGTGGCACGATAAGCGCGGCGCGTGTTAGACGGGAGCCGTTGGCAGCGGCGACGCGCGCGTGTTAGACGTAGGCGTGGCACGGACGCGCGCGTGTGTGTGTGCCTGGAACCGCCTCGCGAGTGAGACGCGCACATCGCGTTGACGGTCGTGCGGTGTATTGTTTCCCTTCTTAATGGTCACTGCGAGATGTACCTGTTGTGCGGCTCTGAAAAGACGCAGTGCGAGGCGACACCTTGCGGTTGAGCGGTGAATCGTTGCTGTATAACCTTTTGATAGGCATCGTGTTCGTGCCCATGATGATATCTGTATTAAACGCTCTTGTGCTCTCAGGCAAATAAATACATGCGGTGACCTCTGCATATGTGTGTGTGTATACACCTGAACAGTCGATAACACGAGCAACTCCATATATCAGACGCCTCGCATCACTATACAACCACATCATGTGCGTGCTTTAAAAATTGATCGACGTCGCTCGTACTGTAATTGAATTGGCGAGCAATGCGAGAGAGAGAGCCGATGTGCTCGGCGAAACATTCGGCTTTGCGTGATCAATATGTTGTTATATCGCTGTGGCAGCTCAGATTGAGTAGTGGGGAGGGGGATATCCCGCTAATCATTGTATTCTTATGCAGTCATAGTTGACTACGATTCTGGTCGCTCTGGGTATCAGGGTTGCTGCAAGTAACCGTCCTTCTAACCGCGGTGTGTATTCTCGTGCGTTATAGCAATGGTGCTCATTGGGCTGAGCATTACGGTAGCTGAATGTGGCCAACCTATAGTAGTGTATTGTGCGATGGTGTGCAGTCGTGGGTCTTCGTTTGGCCAGGTATTAGAACAACCGCTAGTAACCATCCTACCATAGTAGTGTGTTGTGAGAAATAGTGTGATAGGTCCTGGTGGAGCTCAATAGAGGCACTGCAATTGAATAGGTAGATGTGTGCAGCACAGTAACAGCTGTGCGAGAGCAATCCTCTAAAAGAAATCTTATCGTCCACGAAATCAGCTGCTAAAGATTACCTACTAGCTGTTAGGGAAAAGGTCAGATCAGATGACTACATCAGCTGTTTCTCCACATGAAGCCGTATAAGCCCTCGCCCTGCCTCGCTTCGAAAGTCAACTCACTATTGTTGCCCACTTCAACCCATCCCCCTGCGCACGGCCGCGCACACGCAGACGTACACACGCACATACACACTCGCTCGTGCACACGTGCTCGCACAGGCACGTTTGTGCACGCACACACGCATATGCACGCACGCGCACACATGCACGTACGCGCACACATGCACGCACGCGCACACATGCACGTACGCACAGCGTTTGCTGACGATCATCTGCACAGTGACAAATGCGTTTTCTTTTGAAGCGAGTCGTCGTTATCGTGGTCGTTTAAATTGCCGTGTGTGGGCACTAATTGAGTCCCTACGAAATACAGAATTTTTCTCGGGTTGTCGCGACGACGTCGTGAATTGATTAGGATTGACCGCGCTTGTTGAGAGTATATCCTGCAGTGGGAAAGCTGGTAGTGATAGAGTGAAGAAGCTGTCGTCATAACTTATGCTAGTCGACGTTATTACAAGCAAATACAGAACATAGTAGCAAGATCTACAGCAATGCAAAGTGAAAGAAGCTGTGTGTGTGTGAATGATTACTCCAAGCCTACAGCAATATGCATTGTTTGATCATTTGCTTGCCTGGAAAATTATATGTAGCCTAGCCTAGTTAGTTGAGAGTTTTACTGAGTGTGGAGTGATTGTAGTGGTTGCATAGTAATTCATGTATACCCTTACTAGTTTACCTGTTTGAAGTAACCTGCACAACTATTTCAACCGTGTATGTTTGACCAGTTGTTGGACTGAAAATAATAAAATATTTAAATGGTGACTCTAGCAGAGGAGGTGCGGTGAACTAGAATTGAACGAAATCTAATTATTTAATACGTGATGTTTATGTTGCGTTTTTGTTGCAGATGTAGACATTTCCTCACAATTCCAGTCCCTGTTAAAACGGCGCCAAGCACGTAGCCCACGCATGTGATGCTAGCCCCAGAACTAGAAGTGTTGATACAATATCAAATTAATGTGTGCCTGCTTGCAAAATAGAGTTTGTTGTCAATTGCATGTTTTGGGAGTTGGTAGAGAGGAGAATGTGAAAACTCGGATAGGTGGTGGGGGTGCAGTGAGGAACTGCAATGTTTTATAATCTAATGATAGTTGTTTTTTGTATATAAATATTTAACGCATGACATGGTACAGCATTGGATGTATCTGGCTATAAAACACCAATTGATTACAATTATTTCGTTGTACGCCAATAGATCAGCCAATGAGAACCAATTTATAAAGACTTGATATCGGGTAGGACATGCATAAAGTTTTGATTGGTGTTGGTAAACATTGAGGTTGGTGTTGTAAAATTGCATGATGCATGTTGACTTGACTTTAGCTAAAACCTGGCCTTCGCGCTTGCGTGTGAATCGCTCCTTTTTCACGTTCCCAACGTGCTAGCAATCCTCGCATTAGCTTGACGACTGGCTGAATATAAAAAAAAGCCTGAGTGCTAAATTCGTGAGTTGTTGCATGGTAGTTGTCGTCGTCGCTCCACGTGAACGTGTGTGTGTGTGCGTGCTAACAACAACCACGTAACAGCACGGCGTCTCCGCCAGCCTGGCCGCGGGCATGTGATGTGTCTGCGTGAGTTTGAACTAATGTGCTTTGCTTGCAGATGTAGAAGCTTCCGCCCCGCCCCGGTCCTCATTAACACAGCAGCGGCAAGTCTCAGAAGACCTAACCCGCGCCGTGCCAAAAACTGACCTGCTCGACGTGTCCGCTGAGAAGTCGAAAGGTCAGCTGGCGACTCAGCGTAGCCTATCAGCCCGAAATTTGCCTTCGAAGAAGAAGTCGACGACTTCGGTGAGTCGGTCGAGGCATATATAAAGGGGGGCTCATGTCGGGCTTGCGAGCCGACTCGACTGGAAGCAACTCGATTTCGAGTAACTGGAAGCGATCGGCAGCGACTTGTTGCGTCCAGTTGCCCACTGTTCTATTCCGAGCAACTAGTGGCGGCCAGTCACAGGCAGTCGCGTTGCAGTCGACTGACCTAAGCACTGCAGTCGCAGTGAATTGCAGCCAGTTGCTTCCAGTCGAGTCGGCTCGCAAGCCCGACATAAGCCCCCCTTAAGCTGTTCTGTGTGTGTGTCGTGCTGGAAATATTGGATAATTATGTAGCATTATGCCATTGTTGGGTGTGTGGTGTAGTTCGGTGAGGTACAGTGAGCGGGTGTTCACTCAGATCCTATCTTTCAGATGATACTGATGGATGGCACAGAGTTGCAGAAGGAGAACCTGCAGAAGAGGACAGACATGTTAACTCAGCGTCTGCGCGAGTCGGAGAGACTGCTCGACGACACTCAGAAAGAGGTAAGCTTGCTACCACTCCATCCACGCGCAGCGTTTAATGCGTCATTAGATACGAAATTGCGCACGTACCATAAGATCTTATCTGCGCTAAATCAGTGATTGAATCTCGTTTTAGCGGATGAGTTGGTAGAAGTGGAAGCCGTTGCTGGCATTTAGAGGGGGGATGCTGCAGCTTCATAACTAGTGTGCTTTTTGTTTCGAGCTGTCTATATGGTGAACACTACATTCCACGACCTGCATCTAAACTCTGAACTTTACTTACCTGCTCATCTGATTCTGAGCTGCTACTGATGTCTGCGGTCTTCTCTGCAGGTTGCTAACTATCAGGACATGCTGGAGGAATCACAGGGGCAGTACATTCTCCTGGAGAAGAAGTACCTGAAGGCAAAGAAACTCATCAAAGAGTTCCAACAGCGGTATGTGTGCGCGTGTGCGTGTATACGTGTGTGTGGGTAAGGGGTGCAGGCATGTGTGTCTCTGTGTGTATATGTGTGTGTGTGTGTGTGTGTGTGTGTGTGTGTGTGTGCGTGTGCGTGTGCGTGTGCGTGCGTGTGCGCATGTACATGTGTGTGTGCATGTTGAGTGATTATATGAAGTCACGTATGTTTGTTATGACATTGCATGGTAAGTTGAAGTTGAAAATGGAGCTGAAAACTGGTATTTCAATACCTAGCACTAACAAAATACACGGTTTGCTATTGCCTTGAGACTTTGCACGTATTTTAACAGGGGTCGTCGGTGGGCACATAACAGTAGTCTAATATTTCTGTACATCCAACGTGGCTACAGTATGCTGAGAAGCAGAAAGCTGCCCCTGTGCCCTGATCATGACTGACTCTGCATGAGACGGTTGCGTGCTATCATTCACACTTCTCCTCGTTTTTGTTTTGCAGGGAGAACGACTTTATGCGACGTGATGAGTATCATCAACAGGTGGCTCAAGAGAAAGAGCTGGAATTCAACTCCATAGTGAAGCACCTCAAAGATCGGGTATGTGTGTGCATCGTGCTTTGTTCAGACTTTACATTACTCGTTCTGCAAAACTGCATCTCGTGCCATTGGCACAGACTGGCAGTGGTACATTTTGTTGGTATGCTGTCACCAAGAGGTGATACGTGTAGAGAGTGTATACAGGAACAGAGCCAACAGAATATGTCCTGGCGATAGTTCACTGAGTTGTTGTTAGGTATGCACTTTTTCCTAAGTTAAAATGACACATCTTCGTGGTTGCTTGATAGAAAGAGGCCTGTTTCTTACACTGTTGGTTCTCAATGAGTACAGTTAGCGTCATCACTACTAGTACTACCATTTCCACATATGTCAGCTGTAGAAATGGGTCTTTCGGCATTACCTTGGGTGGTCAGAGCAATGCCAACGAGCTCTGTTCATAAAAAACAACGTCCAACATTACAGAAACCAAGAAATATAGTCACTGAGGATCGCTACGCTTCGCCGTTTCTACCCTCAACAAAATACGTCAATTCATGCATTCTCTGTTCACGGAGAGGTCGTGACCTTTGACCTTACCTGCGACAGGTCATCGAGCTCGAGCAGGAGCTGCGCAGCCTCCACCGCGAGGCCGGGCTTCCCGGGGCAGCCCCCGCGTCGACGGCCAAGCCGCTGCCAAGTCTTTCAGCCAGTGCGTCGCAGCAGCCGACCGTGCCTCAGCAGCCCGTGGGGACAATGATACGCGTCGCCGATATGTCTGACGTTGACATCTCAGACAGCGAGCATGTGATCAGCCCAGGTAGGTGCGCGCGCGTTGACATCTCAGACAGCGAGCATGTGATCAGCCCAGGTAGGTGCGCACGCGCGCGTTGACATCTCAGACAGCGAGCATGTGATCAGCCCAGGTAGGTGTGCGCGCGTGCGTTGACATCTCAGACAGCGAGCATGTGATCAGCCCAGGTAGGTGTGCGCGCGTGCGTTGACATCTCAGACAGCGAGCATGTGATCAGCCCAGGTAGGTGTGCGCGCGTGCGTTGACATCTCAGACAGCGAGCATGTGATCAGCCCAGGTAGGTGTGCGCGCG